ATACTCCATGCACACAGATTACATATAGATGCATTCATACTCCATGCATACAGTTTACATATAAATGCATTCATACTCCATGCACACAGATTCCATATAGATGCATTCATACTCCATGCACTCTGATTACATATCAGTTGATTAATACTACATGCACACATATTACATAAAAAGGGATTCATACTCCGTGCATAAAGATTAAATGCAAATGCATTCATACGAAACCATACCGTAAAGAAGACTTAAGACGCTTTGAACAATCTTATCTACAACAGAATGGCATGCTCATTATGCAAGTCATCCGCAAATGTGCATCGGATCTTTTGGCGGGAGAAATTATTACCGGACTGTTCAGCAAGTTACATATAAATTGCATATATATGCATTCATACTCAATACATAGAGCTACCTATTAATCTATTTATACTCCATGCATACAGATGCATATAGATGCATTCACTCCATGCATTCAGAAGCATATAAATGGATTCATACTCCATGCAGACAGATTACATATAAATGCATTCATACTCCATGCATACATATTACATACAAATGCATTTTTACTCTATGCATACAGCTTATATATAAATGGATTCATACTCCATGCAGACAGATTTCAAAGAACTGCATAGATACTTACATATATATGCAGTGTGTGTGGGTGTGTTCCCAAATGTCTGAGTAGTCTAAAGTCTAAGGAGCTTTCCTATACTGTTCACTACCATTTCACCACTATCCGCGTGGGTTCGAGTCTTGGGCTCGGCCAATGTGGGTGAGTAAGAAAGCTTTCCAGTAGCTTCCATTGAGTCGGTTGTTCGTACTGGCTTTTCTCCTGGTTCTTCCAGCATTATTTATACTGACCGCCATATAAACCCAAAACAACAATAACACACACACACACACACACACACACACACACACACACACACACACACACACACACACACGTACTGGCTTTTCTCCTGGTTCTTCCAGCATTATTTATACTGACCGCCATATAAACCCAAAACAACAATAACAACTACACACACACACATATATATTTATATATATATATATATATATATATATATATATATATATATATATATATATATATATATATATATATATATAGTGTATGTGTGGATTATTTTGAAACAAGATTTCTTTAAATTGTATTGCATTCTATCGACTTTAAATAATTTAATCAAATTTTGGGAGGAAGAACGGCGTTTCTATTTTTTGAAAAAGAAATAAAATAACACGAAAATGAAAATTTCAATACCTTAAGGAGGGACATTTGCAAGATATAGCACAGTCCTTATTTTCAAAATTTAACCAAGTGCGCGAAAGCTATGATAGAATTGGACTTTATACGCAAAATTAAAAAACACATTATGACGTAGATAATAGAATGTATGTGCAGAATGTTGAACTAGAAAGTTTAGTTTTTCTACTTGAAAAAAATATCTACAAGCAAGTCAGATAGCGCAAAGTCTCTTATTAGCTGCATAAATATGCCTTGCATTTCCTTGTGGGTTTTTTTTTTCTCCTCTTACACTACATTACTTCGATATATCTTTTTTTTTAATTTTCTTCTCTTTTTCTTTTCGTGACAATGCATGGACGTATATGCACAGGCACGCGTTACCCACAATTACACGTTCAGTAAATATACGCCAACATAATCCTAACTATAACTTCAACAATACAATTCACACTACACCTATAACGACATAATCCTAACTTCATCTGCAAAAACACAATCTACAACAAAAACGACATAATCCACACTATAACAACACAATCCATACTACAATTACGCAATCCATAATACACAACATAATTCACACTACAACTACACAATCCACACTACAATTACTCAATCCACACTACAACTACTCAATCCATGCTACAACTACACAATCCATACTACAACTACACAATCCATACTACAACTACTCAATCCACACTACAAGTACACAATCCACACTACAACTACTCAATCCACACTACAGCTACTCAATCCACACTACAACTAGACAATCCACACTACAACTACTCAATCCACACTACAAGTACACAATCCATACTACAACTACACAATCCGTACTACAACTACACAATCCACACTACAACTACTCAATCCACACTACAAGTACACAACCATAACTACATTTGCATCTATGCAATCGTAACAACACTTACATAATCACAAATGCGGAATTTTGTAAACATAAGATCAAGAACTGGCTTCAAAGGTCACTATATGCTGTGGATCTTTTATCTTCCTGTGTTATGTTCTGTTAACAATTGTAATACTACTCAATCCTAACTTTACTTACGGTACATAGCCCCAGATACAATTACAACTAAATAATCGTCACTACACCAATAAATGGCGCAATCCTAATTATATCTGCAATCATAATTACACAAAATTCGTCAGTCCTAATTATATTTATTTATATAATACTAATTATATGTACAACTATACAATTATTATTCCTGTAGCTACCCTAAGTAACCCATCACCGGCCTTAGCAAACGTAGGGCCCGATTTGGATCATTTTGGCGGAGCCCCCTGTGAGCACGACATTGAAAATAAACTTTTCAACAAGTGTGATATGATATTAAGCTAAAAATATTCTTCTATTGCTTTAAAATTACTTTCTCTTCATAGATATATTTCTAAAAATTAGTAACGCTCGGGACCCCTATGAGTGCAAGACCCCATTTTGGCAAAATCGGTTCAATTGGCCTAAAGTAGGCCCTGATTAAACCTTCAACAAAACTACAAATGGCATAATACTAACTACACATTGAACTACACGATCCGTACGACACCATGAACTACACGATTCTAATGACACCTCGAACTATACAATCCTAACGACACCTTGAACTTTACGATCCTTACGAAATCTTGAACTATTTAATCCTAACGACACCATGAACTACGCGATCCGTACGACACCAAAAAGAATCAGTAATACAAATAATTTTGGCACAGTCATGACAAAAGCAACATGTATGGAACCCTGAATGCACCAAAAACCACTCTCATGAACATCACCTAAGATTCATAACTTCACCTTCCGCTATACAAAACTTTATCGCATATATATATATATATATATATATATATATATATATATATATATATATATATATATATATATATATATATATATATATATATATATATATGCAATACGAAAAACTGGAAAAAATGCAAGAACCTTTCAGGCAAAATTACAAATTATAGATCAATTATCAGTCTAATTAGGTACATCTTTCTTGAAAGTGTTTTAGTGCATTGTTTATTTATCGAAACTCATGCGGGTGACGTTTTGTTTTTGTTGGTTTTAATGGGACTTTTAACTCATTATTGACTATATTATGCCGGGCAAATGGGAGCTAAGTAAGCGCCTTGCCCAAGCACACATCGAAGCGGTCCACCGACGGCTTACGCATCTAACAAAAGGAAATATTAAGATCAATTTGGCATGGGATCGGTAACATTTCGTGTGAATGTTGTCAGATCTAAGCGGGCAAGCTTGCATGACAAGATATTTCGCTGATATTCTGGAGGTCGGTGCCCCAGATATTATTACCCCTTTAAAGCATTTGTTTTACAAATGCCATTAATATGAAACTATAAATTAATGCCAGAGTACAGATAAAAGACATCGAGTCTAATCATTCTGTATGTACTTACTAGAAAGAGCCATAGTTTTGTACTGTGGGCAAAATAAAATACAACTATAGTGTATAGTCATTTGAGTTTGCAATATTTTTTAGGGGAAAGAAAACACGAAGAAAAAAAAAGAAATAAAGGCAATGTTTGTATACGACGTGATTGACGGGAAATTCGACATGCATGATGATAGCATAGGCAGGCTGAAATGGGTGCAGTTTATTAATTATCTGACTAAAAACTGGGACAATCTAATATTCGAGAACTTTGCGTAATATGAGCAAAGACGTTTCCATTCTCTAGCTGGTATTAAATGGGATTTTTGCATGATAAATCAAGACTCGGTGTTAAGGATCACCGCCTACTGGTTAGCTTTTGTTTGGGAGTTTTAAGTTCGGTTAACAACTTGTAATTTAAAACATGTACGATCATACTTCAGCAACGATGACATGAATAATGAGGAGAACAAAAGAAAAAAATACAATCTACAACGGTACCAATATAATGAAATGTACTCTGTACCCCCATTCCATCCATTCCATAGGTGGTAGTTTTGTTTGGTTTGTTCGTTATTGTTGTTGTTATTGTCATCGTTTGTAACTTCGAGGAGATACCCCGAACTGGCCATACCTCGAACGGGCCATACCTCGAACGGGCCATACCCCGAACTGGCCATACCTCGAACGGGCCATACCCCGAACGGGCCATACCCCGAACTGGCCATACCTCGAACGGGCCATACCTCGAACGGGCCATACCTCGAACGGACCATACCTTGAAGGGCCATACTTCGACGTCTTGCCGATAGCTACCATTCAGACCACAAGCTATTTACTAAACAAGGGTTGTCCGAGAAATTCTTAATACATCGAACATTTTTAATTGTATCACAGAGACAATCGTGGTCCGAATATACTGGCGTTTTAATTTTGGACGGGGAAATTTGAGGCGAACGAAATGCTTGATATTTGTTTTGCAAGAAATTATTTCGCTGATGCATACTTTTTTCTCACAGAAATAGCCGAGGTGGTCCAAATGTATTTTTTTGTATCAATACCCAACCTACTGGAGGCGTGTATGTGGTTTGGATTTTTAACCTAGCTTTTAACAATTTTTCAGTCATATAGCTATGATGTCTGCAGTGTGGCAGTTTATAGTGATGTCTAGCACTGGGGCGTCATTCCGCAGACATGTAGCATGATGTCCCATCCAGTCACATTATCCTGACACCAGGCTAACCTGTCCTTACACTAACCTCTTAATGCTGAGCGCCAAACGAGGCAGCTGTTAGTACCATTTTTGTATGTCTTTTGCATTACTCGACTGGGGATCGAACCCACCATCTCCAGCATCCGAGGCGGATGATCTATCCACTAGGCCACCGGAGTGGTTCATACTGGAGGCGGTTAACGACTCGGTCGTTTCTTTTAAAGCCAGAACGTCTTTAAACCACCTAAATTTGTGCATTAGCAATCAAAGTATGAAAGTAAATTCGTTTTGCAACATTTTTTAAACATCGCTTTTGTGAATCGTAAGTTATTAATCATACTTTTATGTTTTGAATTTGAAAACTATTATTAAAATCAGATAAACACCTGGCTTGGTTTGGTTTAGATTATGGCGTTTTATTGTATAAAGCCCATTTAAAAGTTGAAAAATGTCAAGGCACACAGATTAAAAGGTCCTTTGCCCAAAGACACCCTACATTAGCCGATCATTGTTGATTGGATGATGCGATCAAACCCGTACTGTTCTGGTCGAGAGCCGAACGCCTTGACCACTGATCAGCCGCGGCTGTCGTCAAAATGCCTGAATGTTGAAGCCACTTTTTAGTCTTATAAAAATTGAGGAAAAGCGACATAATTGTATGAAAGGCTAACCATGAACGATAAAAAACCATATCAAGTATTATTCGAAATCTTAGAGAATAGCGGTCGGGAATATCGCTCTTTAAGGTGGCGCTCTACCTTTTCTTATTTTGCAAAGTGTTAGAATTTTAAAGAAAAAGGATTTCATCGGGTTTCCTCACTGATTATACCTGCTATTTAAAAAAAGATTTTGTATATCTTATGTATTGTTCAAAGAATCTTGAATTTACTTTATTTTTGTGTGTGATTGATGGGTGTTATATGGATTATAGAGTATATAGAGTGGCCTTACTCCAGATGTGCACCTTTCAAAAAATGTGCTAGCTCCACTTGGTCATTTTCCCTTTCTGAACTTCAGAGGTAAATAAAAAAAAAATGCCGATAACATTTTTTTTTACATTTTATGTATATGGTAATTCATTAATTGTCTTTCTGAAGCTGGTGTTGTCTAGTCTGGCAAAATTCATTTTCCCTGTTTTAATAGCTGCTAAAGATGGTGTACTTTAGAATAGTGTGCTTTAAACAAATTCAGTTTAATTTTGGAGCACAAGGGAGCAGTCACTTTCTTTAGAATTGTGCTAAGGTCATTTACAATTTCCAAAAGTGCAATATCCAAAGAAATGCCAGCCACATTACATCTTAAAGTAGCATAGAGAATTACCAACATTCTCTCCATTGTGCATGTTTTAAATGCAAACAGCTTCACATTATATAAGTCACTCTCTCAAAAGTACATAATAACTGGAGAGCGAACCCTAACCTCCATCAAGTCGAGAAACAGCCAAGGATGTTCCGATTGAAATAAAGGACCGGGTTACCTCCCTTTAAATCTCTAGACCAATATGTTTGCGTGTACTATCCGTCGAGAACTTCCAAAATATCAATCATGTATTGAACTTTATAAACTTCATTTCTTTTTCCATAGAGCTTAATACACTGAAAGAAAAAAATACAACCTATAATACTGATATACGATGTCTTACTTGGCCTTTCTTAATCGGGCAAAGAGTGATATTTATCCAAGATAGCAGTCCGACTTATCTTGCCTGTGAAAAACACCACATAAATATCCCAACGTCATTAAAGAGAATAGTTTACGCTATCATTAAATCTTAAGTGCTACATAAACAAATCTTCTACTTTCCAAAATATACCCGTCCCTCCCTCACCCCTTGGTCAGTATAATGACCAGTCCATTAAATAGCATACACGAGTACACGACTAGATCTTTATATAGATTACACGACTTTAGCAAAGCCCAGCCGAATTCCTCTTGCCGAATATCACATGGCTCAAAATTATTCAAAGGAAGGCAGGTGGCGCTAGCAGAAATAAAACCGAGACCTGTTACATCACGGAGATCTGATATAGACCAATAAGATGCTATGCTATGTTCGCCATTTGATTCACCAATCAGTCAGAGTTTCACTTTTATGAAAGTAGCATAACACTGCCAGCGATAACTTTCCTTAACACGAAATGCAACACTTTTTCTGATATTTTACTAAAAATAAGTGGACCGGGAACTCCAAAGATGCCCATCAGCTCTACTTACGAAAATATATCTTGATTTTAATCAAATTTTCGTTTTCTGTAGAAAAATAACAGTCAAAAAATATAGCTGATTCAAGTAGTCTTCATCCGAAAGTGGTTTTTTTTGTTTTGTGTAGAACTACTTTGTGAGCAGGAATATGCCTAAAACCATAAACAACTAGACTAAATTGAATCAATATCTTAATAACCATATTACCGCCATATCAAAACGCTAAACAATTTGTCTTCCATATCTTCCCCCTTTTTTCTTCCATGCACAGTCTAAATCTTGGTTCCGAGATATTAAACGCAATTTGTGATTTTTGGTATTGAAAAATGTTGAACAAGTCAAATTGGAAAGAATACAGCTTTTTTTTTAGCAAATAGAGATCTTATTTGACATCATTTTCGAATAGTTTAATATTTATCTCTAACTCATTCAACGCACGCACACACGCACTTGAATTTTTAACTATTGAATGACCTAATTTACCTTTTTTTTATCTCTTTCGTTAATGAAACATTCATGAAAAAAAGAAAGGCTCAATATATGTGACATTTTCAAACACGTTACTGTATGAATTATGCAAAGATTCATAGATTCAAAATTGTGCAGAGACAAAAAGGGAAATGTTCAACCCTTTGGAAACATTTGCATGTTAAAATTCTTTCCACATCGTCAATACCGATGCTATAACTGAGCAAAGTTGGGAACACATAAATGAAAAAATTATGTAATAATTATCATTGTCTTCTTAAAACATAGTACTCAAATCAAACACTGACTCGCCAGAAATATATGCAGTTTGATTGGCCAAGATCCAAACACCGACAATCCAGCTATTAATATGTGATTGGTTAACGTTCAAACTGGAATCATTCACACGCTACACTTTGATTGGCTTTTGTTTTGGTGTTTAACACCATTTTCAGCACATGATAGGGCTATACATGAAGGTCAGTATATCTAGTAGAGGAAGAACCTGGGAAGAACCACAGACCCATGGGAAGTTACAGTCAGGCTTTCTCTCGCAGCCTACGTTGGTTGAGCCAGAGATTCGAACCCACGCATGCAAAGGTGCAATGTGTGAGTGATCTGTCAAGGCAATCGACTCAAACCACTCAGTCACCCTGGGCCATGCGTGACTGGCTCACACGCAGACACAAACCATTTTGACATTAGGATTTGATTGCTAAAAGCTTAGCGCAGACAACTTGGAAGTTAAATATTTGATTGGCTAACAGCCAAGCACTAACCATTTAGCCATTAAGATTTGATTGGCTAACAGCCAATTACAGACGATTTAAACATTAGGAATTGATTAGCTAACAGCCAAGCGCCAACCATTTAAACATTATGATCTGATTGGTTAGTAGCCAAGCATCGACTATTCGGACGTTAGAAGTTTTAATTAAATCTGAGTTTGCACAAGAAAGCATTTTTGTAAATGTAGAGTCCGGACTAGAACAAAAAAAAAACTTACGTCTGGCAGAAATGGATAACTCAAGAGATGACTCCGAATGATTTATCTTGGTAGGCATTTGATAGGTTGCTAGTGTTCATTAAACCAAATGGACAAAATTAATCTTCCTTGGTTACTCTTTTATTATGAAGGAAGGGTTTAATGAGTTGAGCGGTTTTTCTCCTGCTGAGGTTTTGAGTAATTAGATTAATGACACCACTTCACGCACCACATCCCACCCCACCCTCTAAAAAATGTCACATTCTGGAAGAAACTGTCTCGCTAAATACACCAATCTGACTCCCTATCTTGGGATCAACAGAACTCACCCATAATTCTGGTTTGTTGCTATGGCATCTAAAGTCACAACGGATTTACTTACACATAAATAAATACATAAATAATTACGATGTTGAAAAAAAAATCTGAAAATTCATGCGAAGTTCTATAAATTAATATTGCTGATTTTATGGCGGATTTTTTTCGTGAGGGGGTATCCAGAAAAGAAATTTAGGAAAGAGAAAAAGTGAATCAACGCAAGAAAAAATTACAATGCCAAAGAGATCGAAGTTTCGAGTTATTAATATCAAATACATTAAAATGTCTTGTATTAATTATGGCATCATGTATGTATAAACAATGAAAGAAAACAGGAAACTGCTAAAGTAAAAATTGATTCACGCAATGAAAGTAAAACACTTTCTGACAGCCTTTACCATTGTTTCACTGATGAACTCCAAAACTGTTTATAACTTAGTCATCAACAGTAAGTTTGGCATTGCTTGACAACGTTTTGCATGTATTAATTGCGCAAAAGACAGCAATGCAATTTTTCCTGTAATTTAAGGTAAAATGCTTCGAAAGTAGTTAAACTGTCAAGCCAATTTAACTTTAGTAGATTACATAACCTCAGTTTCCTTCAAAAGCAGAGAGTATTAAGAATCAGGCAAAAATGCATAGGTCAAATTGTCCCAAATATTCCTCAGATTAATTCTATAATGTCTCAGTGGTTTTTGTTTTAAAGGATTCCAAACAAAAAACAGTATCTCGCATTGCATTCAAAATGTTCCAAAACGTAAAGGAAAATGGTCACGACATGTCTCGTAAAAAGAAGTCACGCACTATTTTTGAAAATGAATCTCATCATAAATAGGGGCGAATAAGAGAAACAAATTTAACACTATAGCGAAAACAAAGAGAAACTGGTGATATGAAAAAGCTGAATCATAGTGGCTGAAGGAAAGACTTTCATTGTAATTTAACCGCTACGGTGGCTTTGTGGTTAAAGCGTCCGCTTCGGATGCTAGAGGTCTCGGTTTCAAAACCCGACCGAGTCATACCAAAAACTTATAAAGATGAAACTAAGAGCTGCCTCGCTAGGCGATCAGCATTAAGAGGTTAGTGTTAGGACTGGTCGGCGTTGTGTCAGAATAATATGATTGGGTGGGACATCATGCATCATGTCTGCTGCATGTTGCCCCAGTGCTAGTCATCACTATAAACTGTCACACTGCAGACATCGTAGTGAGATGACGGACAAATTCTTAAAGCTATGTTTAAGATCCAAATCTCTGTCTCTGTCTCTGTCTCTGTCTCTCTCTCTCTCTCACACATACACATACACATACACATACACATACACACACACAATGCATTGTAATTTAGTTAAAATCAAAACAAAACACAGTGGACGAGATATAAAATTTTAATAATTTCATATACACAAATCAGATCAATAAACAAATGAGTATAGCTCAGTTCTACGCAAGCGAAATGTATGGACATAACAAAATGCATGAAGATTAATAACTAAAACAACTCTTTTTACATCATCTGCGTATCATTACAACGGTTTGTGCGCAACGAGCATCTAGTTAGGCATAATATATCGTTGTCATATTTGTAATATACAATTTCATGCGATATTGTTTTTACTTTTCTTCCTTTATCAATCAGTATGAATCACAGATTTTTTTATAAATGTAGAGAACAAGTCACATACCGTTGTTTTCTATTTATTTAGATTGTATTAATTAAATCTTTAAATCAAATTAAACACGCACACACACACACACGCTTACTCACAAATGTATGCTCAATAGATTCACACGCATACACACACAATCTCATACCCACGGATCACACATTGTTTGGAAACTTTGAAACATGATAATGTTTCTCCTAAATATTTCGTTTATACAATACGTAAATTCAGTATCTTGGCAAAAATTATGCGGCACCTCCCACCCCCCGGTGCACAGCAAAACGTAATTCCGGGATCTCTTTCTAGTTTCTTTAATTTAAAAAAAAAAGTTGTTTCATGGATCATTTTCATTGCCCACTAGGCCTCCTCGCCGCACTCGAGGGGTTGGGACTGTTGCTACGTTGCTTCGACACTGAGTACAATTTATACACCTGTACTCGGAGGATTACGTATTAACAAATCGCCACAAGAACAACAACAAAAGCAATAATTAGTATTGCAATATCCAAATTATAATATAAATGTTAACAATAATTCGTGATTGTAGGGGTAAAACTGCACTGTATTTAACGCTGTTTCAGTTATACATATTTTAACATCATTAAGGAAAAACTAAATGATTAACTACAAAATGCTATTCATATGAATACATGACAATATATTTAAGTTTACACCAACTTAACTTATGTTTACAACAAACCCAAGTTAATGTTATCTGTTCAGTAAAACGAGGAACATGATGTTAAGAATTGTTGTTAGGAGTAAAGGGACCTGAATGACCGAATGGTCTAAAGCGTATGCATTTACCGACCACCATGTTGGTTCGAGTCCCGGACTCGGCCAGTGTGGGTATGTGTGAAAGCTTGAAAGTAGCTTCCCGTAGGACGATGGTTCTTATCGTGGCTTTCCAGGGTTCTTCCTCACCAGCTATGCTGGACGCCATATCCCTTCATGTGATGAAAAATGACGTCAATACACCACTACCATCACCCACGCCCAAACAACAACTTAGGTGTGTGTGTGTGTGTGAGAGAGAGAGAGAGAGAGAGAGAGAGAGAGAGAGAGAGAGAGAGAGAGAGAGAGAGAGAGAGAGAGAGAGAGAGAGAGAGAGAGAGAGATTTGGATTTTTAACGTAGCCTTAACAATTTTTTTCAGTCATATCGCTACGATGTCTGTAGTGTGGCAGTTTATAGTGATGTCTAACACTGGGGCATTATGCCGCAGACATGTCCCACCAAGACACATTATCCTGACACCATGCCGACCAGTCCTAACACTAAACTCTTAATGCTGAGCGCCAAGCGAGGCAGCTGTAAAGTACCATTCTTATAAGTCTTTGGTGTGACTCGGCCGAGGAAACAACCCGCAGAGGTAATTGGTACAAACATTGAAAACTTTTAAATTTGATCAACCGTTGTGTATCCCTCTTGATAATACTTCATCATTGACAAGTTTATTACTACGGAATCATTATAAAATGTATTTAAGTAAATACTACTTATAAAATGCGTTAAAGATGTTAAATCGGATCAATTTTTTCGAAAAGTGAAGAATAAAGTGGCTTTTAAACATGTTTTCTACTGTTCTTGTCGATCCAGTCTTAAGGATCAGGAAAAAGTATGTTATTAAACAAGCGCCTGATATTTCAGTTTAAAAAAAAGTTATACGTGTGTATGTTTGTGTATGTGTTTGTGTGTGTATAGGTCTATGTGATTTACATTTTTAACCTAGCTTTAACTATTTTGGGTCATATCACTACGATTTCTGTAGTGTGGCAGTTTATAGTGATGTCTTGCAATGGGGCATCATGCCGCAGACTTTGTAGCATCGTGTTCCACGCAGTCACGTTATCTTGACACAAGGTCAACCATTCCTAACATTGAACTCTTAATGCTGAATGCCGAGCGAGGATGCTGTTAGTAGCAGTTTTATAAGCATTTAGCATGACTCGACCGGGGTTCGAACCCGCTATCTCCCACACCCTAGAATGACGCTCTATACACTAGGACCAAGACATTATACTTCATATTTTACGAGTAACCGTGACTCTATGACTGCATAACATCTGTATTTTTTCTGCCATTGTTTCTATATAAATAGCGCCAGATATTTGAGCGCAGACAAAGAGGTTACAGTGATATACAATTTGTGAGGTGTCCTGCCAGCTAATGGAAACACTTTTTACTATACATACTTTGAATTCACATAAGAAATTCCCGTCACTGCGATCTAATTTCATTAATGGTAAGTAAATATACAAGAGTTTGCAATTTTAACAAACACTGTTATCAGGTTCTTCCTGAACCAAGCGAAAAACATTGGGACGAGACTGCGAACAGTTCTAAAAGCATCGATATCCTGAAAAAAGGACAACAGTATCATTCTTATTTTGGAAATGGAAGAAGCTAAATAAGAAAAACAAAGCAAATGATAATTTATCTTACATGATGTATATCAATTAAAAAAGAATCAAATCAAAAGGACGACAAATGTTCTCAGTGTCAAGCATTTATCACACATATAATGCATGGATTTCATATCTTACTATTGCATCACGTGCATTACACGGGCACTGAATGCGATACCAATGGCCAAAATTTTTTCTCGAATACACTTCATCACTACATACTCTAGGTCTGAGAATCATTAGGTTCGCTTTGTAAAATAATAGGTTCACTAGGTTTTTCTTGTATGACTCCATTTCTTTCCATAAACCTATCCCAAAGCCCAACCAAAATGTCTCCAGCTAAAAGATCGGATCCATTTTTGACAGCTAACTCCATTAAAAATATGCCATCTTGCTTCAGATATTCATCCGCGAATTTTATTATGTTTTTTCTTATAAGGGCTTTGTTTTCCGATTTTAGGGGGTATCTCCCTCTAATACGTAGATGCTTCTTAATGAAAAATAGTTTCCTTGGTCTCGCGACAAAATTGTAAATAGCTCGCAAAAAGCCAACACCTGTTAGAACAGCCACAAAAAGATACCAAAACCAGAGAAAGATGAAGATCTTTTCATTGTAGAGGTTGCCTGGCAGTACACATTGAAGCGTCCATGGTTGAACAACGTGCATATGACGAATCTGAATGTCGCAAAATGTGACGACAGGAAATCTCAGGGACATTTTCCTACCACTTTCGTGATTCGTACTGACGAAGCCTCGTAAAACCTCAAGACCGTATAGGCTGAAATCGGCACTCAGAAAGTCATTCAAAAGGTAGAACACCAAAACAGCATTTGCTAGATATACATATTTCGAGATGAGTGATGTAGTCAGAAAGTAGTTCCCATATCTCCTTCCACAAACCATGCACGTGTACTTAGCCAACAGCATTCGTTTCGAATAACAACAATTTTTGTGGTATGGCGTCGTCGACGTGAAATATCCATCCAAATAATCCGCTATATCACCTAACATCGCTTTTCTTTCACTTCGCTTAGAGAAAGCGCACTCGACGAGTCTTAGCATCACGTGATCCATGCAGAGTGCGCCGCCAGAAAGAGTTCTCCAGATAAATTTTGGAAAATAGAACATGAATGCCATACATAGGAGGATAAGTGGAACCCATTGGTAATATCTGATTTCGTGTTCTTCTCTATCCTTCTTTTGCATAGGGATTGATTCGTTCCACGGGATATCGTACGTGTTGGTCAGCCAACACATCTAAAAATAAATAATGGACATACCTAAGCAATGTCTATTTATGCACAGCTTAAAAACACATTATGTCTTGTGTACAGTTTAATAACATTGCGTCCATGAGTACAGTAAAACTATTCTTTACACCAGTGAAGACAGAAAAACTACTCGGTACGTCCGACAAGTACAGTAAAACTACTCTGTACGTATGTGATGTGTCGAATTTCGAAACTTGCTGAAACCCATGGTTAAATAAATTGTGCTTTAAAGTTAACATTATCAAAGCAGAAAGGTCTGGTGAAAGTTCATTGTTTATTTCTTCATTTTATTTCTAAACATATAAGGAATTACGTTAAGCATCAGTTGAAACTGACCCGGTAATGTATTATGGTACAAGGGGCGCACGTCAAATAATCGAGTTTTCAAAGGACGCTAATTGTGAAATGTTTTAGGCCAGTGAAACCGAAGACGAACACTTGATTTGGAGGGAAAATGTTAGGAATATTTATATCCGATTGGCCAGGGAAACTTAAGGGCGTACACTCTGAGTAACGGTTATGGATGGGGACTATCACTTGGAAAACCCTTCAGTCAGATTTTTCTTGACAAGATTAAGGACTCCGTAGATACTAATGAAGTAGTGGTCTTCGTAAAATTACAAAAGAGGCCAGGTAGTTGTCTTAGAAAGGAGAATAACTAAAGGCTATGACTGTTTGT